TCCTGTTCATAATTGACATTAACATGCATCGTGTTAATTATCTGATCATAAGTGTCCAGTGCCAAGTGCATCATTTCACACCAGTGAGAATGCGTCTCCACATACGTCACGAGTGACCACTTGTGATCTGATCTCACTTCCCTGTTCTTGCAAATAAACACGTACGTCATTTGTTTTTGACCAAATGCTCTGTTGTTCTTAGCCAGTCTGACAGACGGCTCTGGCGTTGATGATTGTGTGAGTGAGTGTGTCCATGAGTGAGTAAGAGAGAGAGAATCAGTGCACTGCGCTGTACTAACACACACAGCAAAGGGTTGCGGTGGTTAGCGCTCTTACCTCACAGCAACATGGTTCCCTGCCACCACCATAATATCAGCATTGACATTTAACAGGTTCCCAGTTACGCTGATGACCTGTCCAGGATGTATCCTCAATGGATAAGCAGTATATAGATAATGGATGGATGGAATTCTAAACAAAAACTTTAAATAAACATGTATTGTGGTGGTACAGTCACAAATTAACCAATGTCGAGGTGCCTGGTGGCTCACCTGGTGTCACATGTACAGAGGGATGAGTTTTTGTTTCTCATCTCCCTTTCATACTGAAACTCTGTCCTATTAATTAATGCCATAGTACCCCCCAAAAAAGAATGTGGGCACAGCCACAGATTGTTGCCTGATTGATCTGATCTCAAATGCCTCCTGTCCACTTGTCATCACATCACCAGAGACCAATGTTAATTGCTAAAAGGTTACTGACCTCAATAAATCAGTGATCATCATTATACATGGAAAGGGCAACAATTTCTATTCTGTTTATCTTATGAATGTAAATACTCTCAAATCAAGGCTTAGAGTCAGTTCTGTAACTCTATACGTTCCGGAGTACTGAGCCAACACAAGACAAAACTGCCACAAATTCTATATTATGAATTGTTGCCTTTTTAGTTAATTTTCTGTAATCACAAGTAGGTCAAGCTTCCTCCTCTGATAAACAATACACATGCAATCCAACTATAGCCTGAACAATAAGCAGGAGGTGGCACCCCAGCTGCACTCCACCACTAATGGGGTAGGCAGCAACATCTGATGCTATTTGTGGTGGATGTTATCAATGTGCATTCTCTGGTGTGTGTCTTTCCCATCTTTTCTGCCAGTCCCTGGTGCTGTGATGTGCTGGTAGCGCTGATAAGCAGAGGTGTGAGACACTCTCTGCTCAGGGTAATCTGTTGAGAATGAAGCTACTGCCTTTTCTGTTCCAACCGGGGGCACAGAGGGAGGATGATGGAATGGAGGTTGTTACAGGGACAAACGGCAGTAAACTCTATCTGGATTCTCGGCTTGCAGAGAGCACTTGGGCGAACAGGGTGCAGTAGGGTTAGCAGCGGTGCATTTCATTAAATTTCATCAGTTTCTCATCCCCGTAATTTGTTTTCTTCTATATTTGCTGAAGACATGAAAAATGTCAGCTTTTTCTTTGACTGCAGTCACCTGATGACAGAGTAAAAGAATGCTAAATTGTCTACAACAAACGGATATGACACCCTGAGAGGGAGCAGAGGAAGAGGAGTAAATGAGAGCTGCAGCTGCTCCTCGTGGGAGGTTTCTGCATCAGTCATTCAATTAAATTCAGTTGTCTTTGTCTTCTCTGTGAGGTTATAAAAGCATCAATACTTCTTGGAAGCTGCACTTTACTGTACAATAAATGCAAAATGGAGCAAATCATTCCAGCTTGTTTCATAATTAGAGTAATTTCATGCAATGACTTCTTGACTGGAAGGAGGAAAATTGTACAACACAACTCTTGTGACAACACAAAGAAGAAAAAGAATCATGAAAGGCAACAAGCCACATTTGTAATGTCTGCATTTTAAATGAGGACAATACCTGGAAAGAGTATTTAGTTAGTGTTGAGTTTAGTTTTCAGCTTTATCTTTGGGTCAGTCTAATATACCTTAACAATCAATATTTATTATCACGCAGGGGTTGTGAAGTGTTATTTATTACTTCCTCAATGTCCATAATTATTTATTATATTTTTATGGTTATGTTATATTTTATTACTGATATGTTGAGTCTTAATCAATAACTTATATGAATATATGTGACAAAAAATAAAAATTGTGAAGTTGTGTCAAAAGTTAAAAGATCATGCTGTGAGCCTTACCATTCAGTTTGCCATATTAAGCTGTTAATAGAAACGTTGATGTCATTTCTGTGCATGAAAAGAATGTTGCACTGTAATTGAGTTTCTAAAGGAGATAACAAAGATGGAGTGGCAGAAAGGCAGATGGGGTGGGAGAAATAAATGAAGCTAGGCAGGGTGATGAAGGGTAATGAGTTATAGCATTCACAGGTACATAGTGCTCACATATATCACAGCTCCAGCAGCTCTGTATGATTCGTGACAGATTATAGCGCAATGCTCTCACTCTCAAATCTCAAAATCGCACTAGCTCTACTTTACGTGTATATGTGTGTGCGTGAGACATCACATCCTCAGGTTTTGCCTCTGTTCTTATTTGGGGCTCTGCAATAACTCATTAGTCTATCCAAGTGAGGGGCAGAATGAGTGATTGGTCAGTGAGTGAAGGAAAGTGAGAGGAAAAGAGAACAGGAAGAGAGAAAGACACCCTTCCGAGGGAACAAGGCTGCTCCTCGCATCACCATCCCCAGGCAGCCTCAGCTAATAAATTGGACTGTTCCATGCTAATGAATGGAGTCCAGAGATTAACTAGAGGAAATGAAGGGAGCAGGGGGATGTCAAACTACATGAACGATGAAGTAGCTCATATCAGAGCCTATATTACAGAGGCCTATTAGTTCTCCTGTCTCTGCTGGCAATAGGCGTAATGAGGCAGTCTCCAAAGACCAAATGGATGCCTTCTCTATCTCACGCTCCACGGAATCAGGAACGAGTTTATTGTAGAGTTGTACAACGGTCCACAGTGACCAGCAAACATCTTTTTGGTTGTATAATGACATGACTCATATGTTAAGACCAGTGTAAGATTTTTTCTTTTTCAAGGTCCTTACCAGTGCTTTAAGCAGCAGATGATAACTGCTGTACATTAGCAGCACTCTGAAAAGAAAATTCCATTTCTCTAATTAGAATGTGCAGTCGCAGTCTTTTGCTGTTGATGAGAGAAGACAACTCTGAGCTGAATGCGACTCACAGACTTCTTGGAGCATTAACACGGATCAGGAAATGCATATGGACTTGTGGCTTATTTTCATCATTTCTGTTTATTGTAAAGAAAAATATGCAGCAATGTCCAGTGCTTCATTAAATAGAATGTGCCAGTCTGGCTATAGGACGACAGGCTGGTAAAAAAATTTCAGTTGTTGTCTGGGTCATTTGTTTTGTAAAAGACTAAAGATACATCAATGTTTCCATTGAAATTACCTTTTACTTTTTTACTGAATAAAACCAGTTTTATGACAAAAAAGCTAATGTATCTGGTTATTACCCTCATGAATGTTTTTAAATATATTTGTATCTTTTTCTCGGCATCACGTTTCGACACACTGCAGCCGAATCTTTTCTGACATGCACTGTAGGCTACAATCAGGGCAAAGTGATCATCAGCAAAATTATTAAAGATGATCCTTCTTTCTGAGATGAAGGAGAAGGTGAGGAAGAGGGCTGACCTAATTAACAAAGCCTGTTAACACAATGTCATGTCATCATTCAGATCACTCTCTCCCAGCTTCTTTTAGCTATGACAGACTGGCCAGGTAATTATCCTCCTGTCATGTCCTCCCTGCACACATGGAGACCCTATAGCGCAGAATGGTTCCAATTTAATCCATCGAATTGGAGTGTTGTTTTTTTGTACTTTGCTAATTAGTTAAAGACATGTTTGATCTTGTAGCCTATGGCCTGCAGTCTGGGTCTGGATGTGTGATCTTGTGCTTTGGCCCAAACACAATTTCTTCTTTGGGAAGAGAACTTTCGAAATATCTTTACTAAAACCAATCTCAAGGTCAGTAAAATTGATCTTCCTTACTTTGAGATGTTCCTGAGCCAAGGCAACCATCATACAGACGCAGCGAAGAACCACAGCAGCTGAGCAATTTCCAGGTATCTACCCTTTAGCTTTTCAAATCCAGATCAGATTGATTTATTAGATGGAATGAGCCCTGTAAGCCTGTGCACCAGACTCATCTCTGAGGCAATTAAGGTTATATCCCACCTCGATATGTCGGCATCCACAGCTCGAAAAGATGCCATGTATGAATGTATGTTCAGGAGTTCCTCTAGAGAGAAACTTGAATGCATCATAGATGATTCACACTTGTACACCACCAATTATTGCAGATCTTGCCAACTAACATCTACTTCCATAAACCCAATCTCCTATATATTGTGATGGCTGCATTGTATCTGAAAAGGCAAAGAAGACACTCTCACACATTTTAAAAGTATATCTTAATATAAACATTTTATTCAGTGCATTTTTGTGTATACAACAAATAATAAACAACTGGAAGTTATCAGACAGCCACAATGTCTGTCTGTATATGTTGTTTCATCAGATTTAGCCTGGTAGTTTGGAACACATGATCCAACATGGGTTAATACACATAGCCTACATCATGCAGCTCTAGACCAGAATTTCCCTGCTTTCTCCCATGCAACAGATAGGTTCACCTAATACAAACCACCTCCGGAGGAAACCAAGAAAAGAAAGCCTCCCAGAAGCATGTACCAGAAAGAAGTTATGTAGCTGAAGGGAAGAGTACATAGCCCACAAAAAGGGTCCTTTTTGTACATAATTGTGTTTGTACATGCCCTGTGCAAGAAAGGGAAGATGTTCATTTTTGTATGTTTTTTTTTTT